CAAAATCATGCAGGTACTTTGTATGGTTGGGGTGGAGGTGGGTTGTATGTGCGTGGGGAGGAATTTGTGAAGGTGTGGGGGATTGTGGGTGTATTTGTGGGGTTTGGAGCTCGGGGTGGGGAGTGGGGGAGGGATTCCCGCATGCCCTGGCAGGATGCAAGGTACCGTAGGTCAGGAGTGAGGTGAAAAGCATCCTGGGGTGCTGGTGGGCTGTGAGTTAACTTAAATCTGGAGGGGATTTGGGACAGAAGTTCAGTAAACCGCTTTAACCTAAATCAGTTAAGTCTGATGCTACATTCATACAGGTTTATCTTAAACCAGTTTCAGCCATTCTGAGAGTGGTTTATGTACCATGAACTCCTGTGGTGTTGCAGACTTGAACTGGTTTCTACTCACTGTACAGACTTGTGTGTAATGTCTGTTCCTACCCTAAGTGTCTTAGCATTCTGGGCTATTTCCTAGTTTCACGTTTAGATCGCCTTGTTGCAATATCAATTGGATATTGGTTCAGCGTTGGTTGCAGATATGTAACTGGATCAGGTTATTGAGTAAAGGCTGAGAGTTCCTGCTTTCCCTTGAAGGGCCAACTCTGAGCACTCGACTCCCAGGCCTGTTTGGGGTAGTAGTAGGCCAGCTTCTGCAAGGCCTCTACTACCTTCTGCTTGCAAAGCTGCCTCTTTCCACAAGGCTGGGGTAGGATGGAGAATTGCATGTTTTGGCTTTGATCAGTTTGACTAGGGAGCAGCTAATGGCATACATTTTTTAACTTAGTGCAGGGTTGTTGGATGAGTGTTTCTATCATTATGCAGCATGAAAGTACTGAAACCTCATGTAAACTTCCTAGGCTTAGGTGAGAGGACAGTCCCACTTGAAGCCACCATTCTTCTGTCTGAGTGGGTCAGTGCACTTCCAGTGACTCTTCTGTGTTCATATTTCTAAATCCATCTAATTGTTCTGTTAGACTTGACTAGAGACCCAGGTTCATTGTTGTTCCGAAATATTTAAGGGATGCTGTTTCTTCATATAGATGCATTTTAGTTGTAATCATAGATGTTTCTTGCTTCTTGAATATAAAGTGTTGACTTAATTTCAAAGCATTTACTGCTCATTTTACAGACTATTTTTCTGTCTTACTTTATACTTCTCTTTTTTGAAAGTTACCAAAAGGGATAAAATAATTCAGTCGGTCAGTCAATCACTCCTGCTCCCTGGTGGCTTGGAAACCTATTTGATTGGATTAGAATAAAGTACAAGAAAAGTGATTTAACTAGCATTTTTCTGGTTGGTCAGTCAGTCTTTGTCCATGGGTTGGTGGATTCTAAAATATTTCTTTAAAACCATTTGGGGAAACAATGCTTTGTCCTGCTGAGCCTCCTGCCTTCCTGAATATCTCTGTTCTCTCTCCCTTTTTTTTTTTCTGTCCATGTTTTTAATAGGAATGCTGAACACGCAGCTGCCTCGAAGAGGGAGAAGCGTTCTTTTCTGAGTTTCCCTGTAGTACATAAACTAGAGTGAACGCTTATGCATGATACCAACCCATACATGTAACTAAAAATTGCACGTTTCTATGGTATTTTGCCATGCAGCCGTAAATATACATCAGAACTTACTGCCTATTCAATAACTGTTTGCTCTTTGCAGGGACACAGCAGGACAGGAGCGATTTCACACCATCACCACCTCCTACTACAGAGGCGCCATGGGAATTATGCTAGTGTATGACATCACTAATGCCAAAAGTTTTGAAAACATCAGCAAATGGCTCAGAAACATAGATGAGGTGAGCAGCGCTAACAATCTGTCCTAACCATATCTGCTATATTATATAAGGATCCTGTATTCTGTTGAATCGTGGATTCTGCTGAACTCAAGTTTTGGAGCTATAGCAATTGTTTCTTCTTTGATGCTCCTACTGATAGTCCCTGTTTAAACCATCCTTATCGCAGTCCAGGTTGTGGATGACTTCTCTAAGATGGTGCAGTGAGTGCTGATTGCATTCTTTCTTCAAAGATTCTTAAAGGATTTTTTTTTCCTTGCTTAAAAAACACCCCCAAACACACTTTTGGCAGTACACACTGAGCATTGTCAACAGTCTTGTGCTGTGGCTAGATGGTTACTTCTGTATTAAAAAGTAGGTGTGCACTGATAAGAGATTTGGGGGGCTGATACAGATAGCTGATTTTTAAGGAGGTGTATTGGCTGATGCTGATCTGATTTCCAATGCGGCTGGTAAGTCCATTGTGGTGGAAGGGGAGGGAAGGAGCATGAGGGGGAAGATCAACACCCCGTATAGTGTGGGGGAGAGTGGGGCAGGCATTACCCAGCTAGGGTGGGCGTGGGAAGCTGCAGCTTGGCTGGGGGGGGCACGTGCTGCAGCTGCTGACTGGAGCCAGGGCTGTACTGGGTTCTTCTCAGTAGGAGCTGGGTTCAGGGTGGGTGGCGGCGGTGCTGCGAGGGGACTACGCAAGGTGGGGGGGGAGCATGGGTGCAGGGCTGTAGTCACTCCAAATTTCACCGTAGCCGCTGCTTCCTGCCTGGCGCAGTCCCAGCTGTTCCTGGCATTGTGGCTGGTGGCGGTGGTTGAGTTGGGGCTGTGCCCAGTGGTGGGGGGGCTACATTGAAATTTGCGGTGCTGCTCCCCTGTAGCCCCCTCCCATCACTGCTGCCGCCTGCCCCAAGCTCAGCCCCAGCACCAGCCAGCAACTGCAGTCTGCCCATCCTGCACAGGTTTGGGGAGCACACCCCACCCCCACTAGATGAGCTGTGGCTTTGTCCTGCCCCAGCTGGGCAGTGCCTGCCCCTGCCCCACTCGCTCCTTCACCATGGGGGGGCATTGATCTGCCCCCTCACGCCCCTTCCCTCCATCCTCCCCTTCCACCACACCAGACTTACCAGTTGGAGGTAACTCTCCAAGCTACTGGGCTCTGCTTCTCACTGCCTGTGTGCTGTGCTGCGGCTGTGCACACGCAGGGGTATTTATGAGTCAAATTATTGGCCATGTGGGGCCCATTTCCGATGCAGCCATTTTTTAAATATCTGTACCGATCTGATATTGGACCGATGTATCGGTGCACCTCTATTAAAAAAGAAACCTGTCTGTTGTCATTACAGGAATATATCAACCAATAGGAAGCTTTGTAGAAGTATAAGCAGCTGAGAAATGAGACGCCAACCTCCAGAGAAACTTAAAATCTTTTAATTTCCTGTAAAATTCAGCCCTTGAGAGAGAATTCTGTTAAAGCAGTGCTGTCCAACTGGTGGCCCCTGTGCTGCATCCACCCCACAAGGGGTTAATATGTGACCGGTGGCCTTTTACCGGGTTTCCACTCCCCCCCATTACTTTTGCATAGAGGGGAACAGTGAGTCTGCTGCCGGCACCAAGACTGGAAGGTGTGGTCACTAGCTGTTTGGAAACTGGAGCACTGTTTTAAGAGCAATCTTCAAAATCATCAGATAATTGAGTCAAGTGTCTCCTTTCTCTGAGGTTCACAGTTGCACCATGTGATCTTGGGTTCTTCACTGCTTCTCAGCAGTTTCTTCCCTCCCCATGTATCCCTCTACTCTTACACACCTGTATAAAGCAGTTAAACTAAACTGCATTCTGGTGCGCAGTATCAGATAAGGGCTGTTTTTAAAGTTTTGGGGGAGGGAGGAGGGAAGCGAGAGGGCTGAGGATATATCCAAGAAGGGGAAATTAATCATTATGAAAGTTCATTTCCTAGTGGGAGGAGAATAAGAGAACAAATATGAGAGAAATGGATGGTTGAGTGGGCATAGAAGAAACAGGAAATGGGTACTTAGGAAAATGTAGAGATAGGTGCATTATGATGATCAGTTGTAAGGAAGGCCCTGTTGATTCTGAGACCAGTGGAAGCAAGATCCTTTGGATTCTAATATTGTTCATAAATCTGAAAAGTTAATGCAATCCACTTCTTTGTAATGGCTTTGATACTAAAACAACATATGCTATTCCCACGCTTTCAGATCTAAATTTTAATCAGCGGTAGAAATCTGTGCTACATTGGTGCGTTGTGGAAGCTGTTAGACTTGGTGCAGTCAGGGAGATTTACTCTTTAGGAAGCAGTTTGCATTTGTGAAAGCTCATTAGTAGTCTTCTTGCTGAGCTGATCAGAAGTGAAATATTAACAATATGAAGATTCCCGTCTTCAGGTTCATAGGTCCCTCCCGACCCTAGAAGGTATGAAACTACTATGAAACTGAGTAGGTCATCTAGTTGGACCCCCTGCCATGGCAGGAAAGAGTACTGGGGTCAGACGACCCCAGCAAGGTGTTCATCTAACCTCCTCTTAAACCCCCAGGGTAGGAGCCTGCACCACCTCTCTTGGAAGTTGGTTCCAGACCCTAGCC